ATGACTTTGCTATCGGAAGCAGATAAAAGCGAAGCGGTATACGATTAAAATACGTGTAGACTATACGTGTGGTCTGTATGGAGTCTCAACACGAACTGATCAAACATCTATAAAAAAAATATATATATTGATTTGTTCATTTTTGAAAAAGTTATGGCAGTTTTAAGTAAAGAAAATTGAAAAAATTTCGAAAATTAACGATTTTTAAATTTGTAATTTTTTTGGAGATTTCCCCCAATTACGCGGAACGAGAGAAATTTTTTCAATTTTTGAGGGTAATGTGTTTGACTAGATAAGATTTGTGATCTTTGACGTATTGTTGAAAGAAATCGGTCCAGTGACAGCTGAGAAAAAGTGGCAACAGACACAAACCATATCATGGTAAAATTAATACCTTCTTAGTTTCGCATCGATGCTAAAATTATTTTTCAAAACAAAAGACAACTCAATTTATAATTTATGTTTCTTGTAATAATGTTTATATTATTATAGTAATGTTATTCTTATAACCATATTGCATTGTTAATTTTTATTTCTTATTTCTGTTCAGTTGCTACATAATTTGAAACCTTTTCAAAATTTTACTTTGTAAGAATTTTGGAGCCGACTGTAAGGTTCATAATTATGACAATACTGTAATTATAAAACATTGTTAGTAAGCACAATCAGTATCAGTATAAAAGTGTGTGTAGTTCGAATATTTCGTTTTATGAACACAATAAAGAGTAATTTATTTAATAAGTAATATGTTCTTTTATTTTAATTACTCCTTACAAGGCTCATGTAACTTTTTTTTATAAAATAAAATAAATAATATAATAAACAATACAAATAATTCTCAAAATGATTTTATAGAAAATAAGTTATTAGTTTGAAATTTCGCACGTGCAGATACTCAAAGAAGAATATAAAATTTATCACATCTTAATATTATTAAAAATAGCACTTTTACAAATTAATGAAAAACATATTCATTACTGAATTTTTATTCAAACTAATGATTATTAATTAGCTAAAAATATTATACATCTGTTAATATTTTAAATTAAATTTTGAATAAACGTCTATTAATCGCATGGTTTTGTTTTCTCATAGTAATTTGATGAATCTCTATTGAAATTTAATCGATATTGAATTAAATTTATTCATTGTTTGTTTATCAAAAGATCTAATTTTCAAACATTACTGTATGTTGAATTTTATTTAAATTTTTTTATATATTTTTCGTTTTCGTTGAGTCAAATATAATGTTTATTAAAAAAACCTTTTTTTTCAGTCTTAGGGAATTAATATTTATTAAAGAAAATACATTTTTATGTGGGTACACAATAATAATATAAACATGATACCCTTAAAATAACAAAACTTTTCACATTTATGTTTATATCTTAGGAAACAATGATAATAGAAATTTGATCGTTAATGAGATTTAAAGGATGATGTTTGAATTATTATTATTGTTGTGTATTGAGTAGTGATAAGCTTTACGATTGTAATATAGTACTACACCCGGCCCAGATAACATGTAACACATGCGCGAGTGCCCAATTATAATGTAAGTTTCATCAATAAAATTTTCGTAAAAGTAATTGAGGCGTTAATTATTTCATTAAGTAAACCCGCATATTAATTATTAATAAAGAAATTCGATTATCTTATTAAAATGTAATTTGATTAAAAAAAAATTATTGTAATATATTTCAGTTCAATTTTAAGATACGACATTGTGTGGTATAACCCGATACGCGTTATTCTCTTGGTCTCCCTTAAAAGTATATTAAACGTTCATTAGAAAATAATATTATACACACGGTGTTTTATAAAAAAGTTATATCTAAAGTTTTTAAAACGTTGTTCTTTTAAAACCTTTTTGTAATTAATTTGATGATATTATTTCAAAATTATTAAATATTAAAAAAAAAATGTTTTCATTTTTATAAAAATATAAGTTATAATTATTATATATTTTTATTACAATACAAATATAACAAATTTAGGTTAACCGAGGTTTTTTGACAGGATCATTTTACACTTTTTAAATTAGGCTAAAAGATATATATTTAAAATATTTTCTTTAGTAATTTCAACTTTAAAATAAGATACAACATTTTTGCAAATCAAATTAATATTTCAGATAAGTTATATAGTTAAATTTGATCCATGTTATTTTGTTGTGTATTTTGTTCGCCAATAATCGGTAATGATTCTAACCTCGTTGGTTTTTTTATCGTATTTTCAGGTGAATTTTTATGGCCTAAAATATATTAAATTTTTTTATTAATTATACAAAATCATGTACTATTTAATTTACTTACAATATCTCCACTTATTAAACGGTTTTCCAAATTCATCATTAGTTTGTGTAAGCAATTCAGCAGCTCGTTTTGGTTTAAAGTAATTACCCGCAAAATCATTATTAGAATTATGATTCTTCTAGAAAATAGTTGTTTTATAGAATATAACTTAAACACTAAATAATTAAAACTTTATATTTTTAGTTTTTATGTCAAAATTTAAAATTATCATTACATTGTATAAAATTATAAATCGTTATAAATTACAAAATTAAGATTTATATAGATTTTCAAACATGATATCCATAAAAGTTTAAAAACCAACTTTTAAAGAAAACTAAAATTACAAGTGAATTATATACCTGGTTAAATATAATTGGCATCTCAGGGGAAGATGATCTTCTGCTACTGTCCGAACTAGATGATTTATCAAACGACAACCCAGCTAATGTCTTAAAAGCACCTATAGACATTTTTTTACGACTATTATCAAATGTATTGAACGCTGCTGGGTTATTAGGATGCTGCGCAAATGTTCCTAGAATAAAAACTACTCTTAAACGTTTTATATAATTGCTCAAAAGAATAATTATTTTACTGAGTATATAGAGGTTAAATCAGGTAATTATATAAAAAAAATTATCATTAACTACAACAGTTGAAGAATGTTTAAATGTTTAAACTATAAGAAAATTAAAAGGCTTTGCTAATTTAGTCATAGCTATGAATTAATTGACAGCTATGTTATTTAAATTTTTCTATCAAATTAAAAAGTGCAGAGCAAATATATTATTTCTTAAGTTTATGGCGATATTGAAATCGTTTTGCAAAACGATATCATAACTCCAAAAACACAACTTTTTTAATATTTAAGTAGGAAAAAAGATCGAATTTTTTAATTTTCAGAAATTGTACTTATAAATATTTAGTAAAAAAATATTATGTACTACTTTTAATTAATTTTAAGACAATGGATTATTCATAAATTTGAGTTTATACACACTATGAAAATTTATAGCAGAGATCAGTTTGGACTGAGCTATCTCAATACGATCCGGATTTAATCCGATACAAAAGTCATGGCGAGCCGTTATTATAATTTTATGTTTTGGATCTTATGTAGGAATTTAATTTAAAATATATCGGTTCGAGGCGGGTTTTAATTTAAAATTAACAGAATGGAGCTAGATCAAATATTGATATTGGACCTTGTACGTTTGTGCGAGTCAGGAAATGGAACCAAAACCAGAGCCCTTAAAAAAATAAAGGTTTAGGTTTCGGTTTCAATAATTTTAGTTATTTTATTTCAAAATTATAAACTGTAAATTATAAATTAAATAATTTTAAAAAAGTTATAGTTTGTAATCTATGCTCATTTTGAGGCTTTGTCGGAGCAAAGAGACGAACATACAGGTTCTGTATGTATCAGGACTGTGAACACTCATTTTTTCATGAACTACGGGTTCATCATCAAACATCCGACGACGTTCCCTCTGAGCTCCTCGAAAGTTACGGTATACCGCAATCACCGAATACATACCGTGGAACTGAAGGTCACGTAGAAATTGTCAAGGCTATCATGTTAGCTGTAACCGAAGTGACGCGCAGTATTTCTAAACTGTTGCGCAAAATCAATGTCCCCATTTGAATTACTGTTGATGATGTACACAGGCACAGGAAGAAGACGGAATGCAACTTGATGGGATATGACGACCAAAACATTTCGGTTATATCAAATTCTGAGGAAAAGTAAATTTTGGTCACGAAACTCGTGCCCAATAACATCTTCATATGGTTCGTTGATACCTTCCAGTCCATAGTTTCGATTGTATGTTGACGTATACTAGAATAAAGCTGAGACTCTTGAATGACTATGACATACTGTTAATGATGGAACAAGGTATACGTGGTGGGTTAATTCAAACCACCAAGTAATATGCCAAAGCAAACTATGTCAAAATACCTGACTACGATCTAACAAAGCCTGAATCATGGATCGTGTATCAAAATTGTAAATGTTATGTATATATATATATATGTGTGTGTGTGTGTGTGTAATATATAAGTAGTGTTTTAAAAACGTAAAATGTATACAGGCAATAACACTTACGGTTGGGCTATAAGTCAGCCCATGTCGTACGAAGGCTTTTGGTGGTGTGAAGGAACAGACCATCTGGTCGACCTCTAATCGTTATCGAATATCGGTAATTCAGAGCATTTATATGAAGTGGATGTATCGTATCCAAAAGAGTTGCACGAAGAACACAACGACTCGCGGTTCTTGCCTGGTAACGACCCGATGTATCACCGGGAAACAAAGAGATCAAACTAATGGCCACTTTCAAACTTAAACAGTGGTATGTATACACTACGTTAATCTCAAACGAGAAGTAAGTGTAATCAGTTGTGTGTTCTTCGATAAACTTTAACGTTTATAGAGAAAACCATGGAAAACATGTGGAAGAGTACCCGTATTGAGCTAATCTCCATTCCCAAACGTCTTAGCAAGCTTGTAAAATAACCGGCCTTCAGAAATTTTATCAAATATGGTGAAAGTTTATGCGCCGTTATGATGAACACGAAGATAATTAAGTTTATGAAACCTGTATATGTCAGTTTAGCAGTGCTTGATATTAGAAAAACGCTAATATACAAGTAATTCAACGATGTATAAAAACCGCATTATGGTGACTCAATTAGTCAGATTTACATAGATACATGGATTTTATGATATCCATATGTATTAGTGTTATTTTAAATTCTTTCATACACCTGTTGAGAGTTAGCGATTATTACCAGGATTTAGATGGTAGCCCTGATTTATTGGTGTACGCGAATACATTTCTTGTCCAAGGATCACCAATATAACTCCACCGATTGAAAGAAGATGCCCGACGTGTTTTGAAACGAGACCGGTGGTCTCACACTGTACGAAATCGCTGCATTTCGATAAAAGTGATACGCATATGACATGGAAGATAGCGAACTCATCAAGTCAAAGGAGATTCGTGAACACAGCGTCTGCAAATATCTGTTTTTATACGATTACAAACAGTGTTTGTTCAAAGATGATGCGTCCAAACGAGTGTTAGCCAGAGAGAAGTCTGTCCAGTCATCGTAGCTGTACGGGGTGGTTTACATCATCGTTACCTCATACTCATTACCGACAAAACATATTGATTCGTTTATTTGAGTATGAGGTTCATACCTCGCGTACAACAAACTTGACGCTTAACTGTTTCGATAATAAGCGTTAAACGCTCGAAAACAGAATCAAAACGTTGGTGTACAGACAATACGTTATACTACCACCACCACAGAAAGATTAGTAAAACTATATTATTATATAAGTTAATCTCAATGGACAAAAAATATATTTTTTAAAATTAAATATTGAAATTATAATTTGTCAAAAATGTATTATATACAGAATGGAATAGATCTAACTGACAACTCATATTTTTATTATGATCCACATAACTTTTTATACTTTTTTTATTTAATCAATTTTTACAATATAGAATTATATTTAAAATATGTTTTATGTTATATTTCGCAATTACAAAAAATATTTTTAAGATTAATTTTTTTATTAAAATTATTTTTAAGATTCGATAATATGCATTTTATAGATAATTTTTAAAAAAACAATTTTGATATCAAAAATTTTAATTTTAATTCAGTAGTTACGTTTATAGAACATTTTGAAGTTTGTTAAATTTTGATTTTTTTTACAACTTTCTTATGGTATTATATTATGTAAAGGACGGAAGTAAACACTGTCTTATTACCTTATTTACTGGTAACAGTAAGCTATTTATTTTCCATGGATAATAATAACGTTTAACACGCTTTTATATTAGTTTCACATGTATGTTTGTTGTAAGTTTATAACTCTCAACGCGCCACGTGTTATTATTCTCGCGTATCCCGTCGTTTATGACCTTAAGACTAGACTGTCGTCTTTCACTCCAACCCGCTCACCACTCGCCGACATCAATACTTTCCTGTATAATTTGGTTTTCGTACTCATACCCGTATATATAAATATATATAAACAAATTATATATATATATACAAATTTTTATTTTGACTAACCAATACCGCCCGCGAGCCATACGCCTTACGTACATATATTTATATATTCTTACTGCCGTTGTCGCCGTTTATATATCAAGTATAACGTTCCCCTCGTCCAACTAATAAATATAGTTTAAAAACTACAAAAAACACGCTTTTAAAGTACATCGAACTAAAAAGTTAAAAATCATTTTTAAAATAAGCTTAAAACAATAATGTACGAAAAATACTAATATTATTGTAAAAAAAGGGTAACTGCTTTATGCCATATTTTTCGTATATTGAGTGCCCAACGCTTTTTCATAATAACACTAGTATTTTTCGTTCATCATTATTTTAAAAATTATTTTTAACTTTTTAGTTCGATGTACTTTAAAAGTGTCTTTTTTTAGTTTTTAAACTATATTTATTACAGAAATTATTATCTTTAATCTTTATTACAAAAGTTAGAAACATTATCGTATGTCAACTACGAGTGTTCCATGGTTAGCCAATTTAAAAGAGATAACAATTATTAATTAGCGTCATTCTATTATAGTAATCATATTATTATAGGATATTCCTTTTAAGAAGATTTGATATGAAATGCACTTATTCACTATTATGTTCACTATTACTTATTAAAACATGTTTTAGATGACATTAGTATAATTTTTTTTTAATAAACTTAATTTTACTGCTACTTGTTGTTTTGTGTTAATGCTTATTCAAGTGTTAATTATTTTCATGAAAAGAACGTAAAAAAATAATGTTTACTTTACTTTTACATATTATGGACTAACATTTGATACCATAAGAAAATCGTAAATAAACCAAAATTTAACGAACTTCAAAATGTTGTATAACGTAACTACTGAATCAAAATAAGAGTTTTTGGTATCAAAATATTTCTTTTAAAGTTATCTATAAAATGGACATATTCAAATCTTAAAAAGAATTTTAATAAAAAAATAAATTTTAAAAATATTTTTTGTAATTGCGAAAAATAACATAAAACATATTTTAAATATAGTTCTATATTGTAAAAATTGATTAAAAATAAAATATAAAATGTTAAGTAGATTATAAGTTTTATGAGTTGGTCAGTTAGATCTGTTCCTTCCTGTGCATAAATATATATTTAAATTATTAAGTAAAAAACTTCGAGTTGTATTTGTAATTAACTATTTATTTAACTAACATTTTTATTACAATAAACGTCAAAAAAAATTTATGATTACTTAATATAAACCAACAATTTTGACAAAACATGTATCTTTATTCTTCTTAATGACCTTTTTCACTGAATACTTTAGGAAGCTAAGTCTTACTAAGTTTGTGTTCATATAACATCCATTTATTGGTCTGATGTTTTCATTTGTTAATTCGTACACGATGGGTTTTGTAGCTTGAATTTTTGCAATATTAAAGAATTCCGATGTGTCAATTCTGTGTGTATTCTTTTGAAAATACTGTTTTACGCTTACCTCAGGTGGTTTTTATCTCCAATATTAAATTTTTTATTGTATTTTAAATTAGATAGTTGTTAACTGATTTTTCCAGGATTACGTGATGCTATACTAGAAGTTGTTTCTATGGTGCTGTGTATTGTATTATTATAATATGTTAATAAACCCGCTAAAATGTTTATCTAATTGTATGTACTGTTGATAATAAATTTTTTCTTTTAGTATTTTATTAAATCGCTCCACAACAGAAGCTTTTATTGTAGTTTTTTGAATAATGCTATATACTTTTGTTCTTCGTAAGAGACTTAAAATATTTTTTGAAAAACCAAAGTATATCATTATATTTTCTCCTCTTTTCAAGTGACTCAATATTAAAATCAGTTGCTAACTGTTCAAGAGAAGCATCTATTTTATTGGTTTTGTATGCTAAAACGCGAAGAAGCCTGTTTTGAATACGTTCAATTTTAAGTATTATGGTGGATTGATGCAGGTTCCAAATTATAGGCCCATATTCTAAAATAGATACCACAAATTATTTAGGAAATATTTTTATAGGTGATTTATGTAGATCATCTGCTTATTTACTTATAATATTACACCTATTTTTTGTAACTCTTCTTCTATTGACAGTATTTAGTTTCTCATTCCTGTATTTCCAGTGCTTCTAGCAGCGTATTAAAGTCCTAATCGAACTATTGGGATCGTTCCATTACACGTCTTCATTAGATCTTTTGCTTAAAATTTTGTAGGTTTATATTTATATTTATTTATATATTGATAAAGTCTATAGTGGCCGTGTTGCTAACTTCCCAACTTGAAAAGTTGGTTATTTAAACCGTAGTATTGCCCATGATAAAATCATAATCTTTCACATACTTTAAAACATAAAACGGGTCCATTTCTAACATCCATTTAGAAAAATAATTTTGCTGTTTGCTGATGTAAAACGAATGTTTAGCTTCATCGACATTTATCGTTTTTATTTCTTCATCTCCTGACATGTAGCTCTGCATCATATTATTTTCTTCAGCGTATGATTTTTTTTAACCTTTTATCAGATATCTTAATATTAACAAAAGATATATCGGTATAAATGGTCTTTTCACACTAGCGTCTTTTTTATGAATATATCAAGCTTACATCGTAACGGACCATTGTTGAGGTCATCATTTTTTTATTATAGTAATGAAACTATACCGTTTTTTATTTTAACATTGTGAATACATCGCTTTGAATTCATCAAAACTCATGTCAATGGTGATGGCATGTTGTATACTGACAAAGACATAATTCAAGACAATTTCTCCAATCATTGTCATTAACTATTCAAGGCAAGACAAAAAATTAAAAATTACGACGGTAAATATTGGATTAGAATTTGAATTCGATAAAATTTTCCAACCAAAACTACAGCATATTGCTTGATTATACAAGATAAAAAATTATTTTATTTTATTTTTAATAATAAATATAATTTTATGACTTATGAAGTTCATAAAATATTATAATTTATTTTTTCTAAAAATATGTTTACCTAAGCGTTTAGTAGCTTATGATAAAATTCTTAAAATATGATAGCTATTGTTCTCATAAAACAATTATCACGATTTCAACTTGACATCTCATTTTAGTGCAAATTTTAGTTTACGACTAAACAAAAAACTATACATTTAACAGTAAAATGTAATGTATAACTTTTTAAAATGTTTTCACAAAAGTTCTATTAAGTATTATGTGTAACTATGTTAAGTACTATGATCATTCTTATGAATACTTATTCATTTTATCTTTAATATTCAATATTTTTTTCCTTTATCTAATTGTGTATTTATTATTTATAACATTTTTACTGAGATTACTCAAACATACAAAGGAGAAAATTTAGTGACCTTAAAAATATATACAACCTAATTCTTTATCTCTTAATTTTATTCAATATCAAACTTTTGTTTCGAACTTAAAATTGTATGAAATATTGTTGGGTTGGGTTGCCTATGCACCATAAGTGGGATGTGATGAAATAGTCAAGGAAGTGTTTTGGAGAGAGATGAATGAGATGATGCAAGGGGTACCTGGAAATTAGGATGCACAGATAGGCGGAGATATGAATGGACATGTAGGTAATGCGTTGAGAGGATATGAAAGAGTACATGGAGTGTATGGTTTTAGTGGGGAGAATGAGGCTGGAGAAAAGTATTATATGATCTTGCTGTGGTTGATACTTATTTTAGAAAGAGGTAAGAACATTATATAACATATAAGAGTGGGTGGAATAGATTATTTTATGTGGTAGAGAGAGAGCGTAATGCGATTAAAAGATTGTAAAGTTATACCAGGCGAGAGAGTAACTATACAACATAGACAGATGGTATTGGAGTTGTGGTCTACCGGGAAAAGATTAAACAAAAATAAAAGAAACAAAGGATAAAAATCGAAGATCTGGTGGTGGAGATTGAAAGGGGAAAACGAAAAAGAGTTTATAAAGACGGTAAAAGAGATGACGGTGTGGAATGTCGAGGGAGACATAAATGATGTGTGGAATAGATTTGCCAGTTGTGTAAAAAATACTGCAAAGGAGATTCTTGGTGAGAGTAGGAGTAGAATGCTAGGAAACAAGGAAACCTGGTGGTGGGATGAAGACGTACAAAAAATCATAGAATGTAAGAAAAAGCAATTCAAAGTATAGCAGAAGACCAAAAGGAGAGAAGACTGGATGGAGTATAAACGCTTGTGCAAAGAAGCCAAGTGTGCAGTAATTAAGGCGAAGTTTAAGAGGTATGATGAGTTGTATGATAGGCTAGGAACAAAGGAAGGCGAGAAAGAAATCTATAGACTTGCAAAGATAAGAGAGAAAAGGTCTAAAGATTATCATTATATAAGGTGTATAAAAAGTGTTGATAATAAGGTACTTTCGTGTGACGATAATGTGAAAAAAAGGTGGAAAGAGTATTTTGAAAAATTATTGAATGAGTACCCAATAGAGAAATTAGAGGATATCTCATGGAATGAGGAACTGGTAGATTTGATTAGTGAGAAAGAGGTATGGTAGGCTATGGCACCAATAAAAAAGAATAAAGCAGTAGGACCAGATGAAGTACTAGTATGGAAAATATTAGGCGGTGTTGGCATAATGTGGTTGAAGGAACTTTTAAATAAAATCTTATTAGAAGGGAAAATACCAAATGAATGAAGGAATAGTATTGTAGTGTCGATATTTAAAGATAAAGGAAACATACACAAGTGGAAATTATAGAGACATAAAGCTTATGTCATAGTATGAAAATTTGGGAAAAGGTAATATATAAGAGAATAAGAAATGAGACATCCGTATCTAAAAACCAGTTTAGATTTATGCCTAGTAAGTCAACAATGGAGCCAGTATTTTGTGTGAGGCAACTAACAGAAAATTTGAGGGAAAAGAAGAAAAAGCTATGTATGGTATTTATAGATTTGGAAAAAGCGTATGACAGAGTACCGAGAGAGGTTTTAAAGTGGACATTAAAGAGAAAAGGAGTTCCGAAAAGGTACATTAATATAATAGAAGATATGTATGATGGCATTTGTACCCGAATTTAAAGCGTAGGAGGAGTAGTAGAAGGTTTTCGTGTAAGAATAGGAGTACACCAAAGTTTAGCTTTAAGCCCTTACTTATTCTCTATAGTGATTGATGAAATTACTAGAGAAATATAAGGAGAGGTGCCGTAGTGCATGATGATATAGTGTTAATAGGAGAAAATAGGGAGGAAATTAATCAAAGGTTAGAGGTGTTGAAAAAAAGGGTTTAAGAATAAGTAGAAGTAAGACAGAGTATATAAAGTACGAGTTTGATAAAGGAGAACACAAGGTAGGTGAAATAAGGAGACCAGCGACAGTAGGCGAGGATGTGATTGGAGAGGTGGAAAGTTTTAAGTATTTAGAGTCAGTTGTGCAAAAGAGCGGTGGTATTGAAGAGGATGTAAAACACAGAATTAAGTGCGGGTGGTTGAAGTGGAAAGAAACGTCTGGCGTGTCTTATGCGATAAAAGAATTCCAATGAGTCTGAAAGGTAAATTCTACAGGACTGCAGTGAGGCCAGCTATGAAGTATGGTTCAGAGTGTTGGGCGGTTGATAAGAAAGTAGAATAGAGAATGAGTTTAGCAGAGATGAGAATGCTTAGATGGATGAGTGGAGTGACTAAAAAAGATAGAATAATGAACGAGCATATAAGAGGGTGTATAGGTGTAGCGTCAATCGTGGATAAGATGAGAAAAAATAGACTTAATTAGTTTGATTATGTTATGAGGAGAAAGGAATCAGAAACTGTGAGAAAATAGTTATATAAATGAATGTTCTAGACAGAAGAGGTAGAGGAAGACGACCAAAGGGTATGAAGAGATGGAGGGATGTTATTGAATGCGATTTGAGGACAGCTGATGTGAGCGTAAATGATGTGGGAGATCGTGTTAAGTGGAAGTTTAGGATAAGGGTGGCCGGCCCCAAGTAGTTGGTATTAAGGCGAGGAAGAAGAAGATTGGTAATTTTACCCAACTCAATTAAAATATAGTATAATATTCTGCACTATACTTTTTTTCTTACCCAAAGCCGGGGGGAGTTTTATTCTAGTTAATTCTGGTAATTTCCAATTTTGCGTATCTTCTTCCCACTCAGCATCTTCTTTTAACCTCTCTAAATTACTGAATCAAATTTATTTTTTCAATGTTAATACATATTTAATGACTAATAATTTACCTGTAATTGCATTCTCTAGATAACGTTGGAATGATATTCTCTAAAATTTGACTTTGTAATTTGATTTGTCTTTCTTGTTTTCTAATGGTTTCTAAGTAATCAGTTCTTTCATTTTCAAACTCACTTTGAATATCTAATATTTCTCTATCTAATGATTTTATCTAGATATAAACATATCTTAATAAAATATTTTTAAAAAAAATGGAAGTTAAAAATATGATATCAAGTAGTATTAAATTAACTGCTAATGATATTTTTGATATTACAATTTGTTTAATTCAAAGCCCAGCATAATAGGGTTGAAGAATAATGGGACAAGATATGATTGATATCATTCTAATTAGTTCACTTCACTGAAAATCTGTTAAATTTAACAATTATTTGTATATTTGTCATTTTAAAATTCGTACGTTTAAACATTTAACTCTAATATAAAGGTTTTGTTAAATATTTGTTCATTGGAAATTTCAGTAATCGTTTAACTTATATTTTTCTACTAGATGATCAATTATTATACTTCGTAATAATGAAATATATGAAACCGAACAGTACGAATAGTATTGGATTTTCTACATCATTTTTACTACGTAAACAAATGTTGGTCATGTCACCAGAATTTTCTAACAATAATTCCTTATTGTATTATTTAAATTTATACTTCCTAAAATGTCAGAAACTTTATTACAGTACCTTTATTTTTACATAGAAGATAACATAGAAATTGTGTTAAAATTTTATTAATATCAGTCTTTTTAAAGAAAGGTTATAACAGTTTTAAATACATAAAAAAATTTCTGAATTGACATTTTTAACGGTAGCATAATTTCGAGTTTTTTTTTATATTTCTATAAATTTCTTTTGATTGATAATCATTTTTTCAACATTTTTAGCGTTTATCAACTAGATTAAAAAATTGTTACTACAAATTAACACTTTTGAGTTTTAATATGTTAAAAAAAATCTGTGCAAAATGTCATTTTTACCTATTTTTTTAGTCTTGTAAAGTTAATTTTTGTGAAAGTTAATAGTAAAAAATAAGTTGAATTTGTTATCATAACATTTAGCTCAACTTGCAAGATTGATATTATAGTCATTAAATAGAAAATTTTATGAGAATATAAAAAACGACATTGTTAAGATTGATATGTAGTCTGGAAATTTTAAAATTACTATTTACAGTAAATTATTAAGAAAATCTCAAAATTTCTTTAAATTCACAAATTTTTGAATTTTTATCGTAATAAATAATTGTAATAGAAATCATAGTAATCATTTATATGTAACTTTAAAAGTTTCAAAAAATTTTACAGTTAATTTATAATCAATTTTAATTATTTACTTTAATTAAAAGGGCAATCGAAAAGTTGTTAACTTAAAATATATAATATAAACTATATTTTAATATGTTAGAAGATATATTGAGTATTTCCGTAAAATTTTAAAGCTCATAATTAAAAAAGTAAAATTTTTGTGTAAAAATTAATATATTCGATATCCCTGCGTGAGCAGCTTAATGGTCGGATTTTTAAAAAAAATATACCGAAAGAAAGGAAAACACTAAATGTAGTCTTCTTCTTATTCTTATTTTTTCTCGCCTTTATCCCAACTACTTGAGGCCACCATTTCTCATATTGTCTACGCTCACAATATCATATTCCTTCCTCATATCACATTCAATAACATCCCTCCATATCCATCTCTACATATCCTTTGGTCGTCTTCCTCTACCTCTTCTGTCTTGAACATTCATTTATATAACTATTTTCTCACAGTTTCTGATTACTTTCTCCTCATAACATAATCAAACCAATTAAGTCTATTTTATCTCATTTTATCCACGATTGACGCTACAGCTATACTCCCTTTTATATGTTCATTCCTTACCCTAAATCTACTGTTACTCCTCCATGATACATATAATTTATTATATTAATGTACCTTTTTGGGACTCTTTTTCTCATTAATACTTAATTCAAAATTTTTCCTTACACTTTTCTATTAGTTGTCTTACACAATACAATGGTTCCATTATTGATTTATCAAGCATAAATCTAAACTGGTTTTTAGATTCCGATGTCTCATTCTTATTCTATTATATAATACCTTTTCCCAAAGTTTCCTACTATGACTCATAATCTTTATGCTTTTATAATTTCCATACTCCTGTATGTCTCCTGTTAAGAACCCCTGAATATTATTTTATAATTGAGTAGAGTATAGAATACATGGTCGTCCGACTGTTGTCGAACACAGGAATGTGCTGACCAAGGGTTTTAGGGCAACCATGGGCAAAGGAATCCCACTGTAGGTACCCTACAGTCAGTCGTGGTTTAGTATGCGCTAGTTACACTCATTCTATATCATTCTATGTCATTCTATTTTATAATTCTATTCATTTGTATTAATATTAATAAATAACGTGTATTGTATTATTAACTGTGTCAATCAAATTATATATTCTACATTTTATTGAAAAGTGAGTGTTTTCGTATTCTTATTAAATTTAATTCCTTTACCACGTGGGCCCGCACAATACTCCTATATCTTTAAAAATTGGTACCACAATACTATTCTTCCATTAATTTGGGATATTTTCTTTTAATAATATTTTATTTAAAAGATCCTTCAACCACTTTATACCAACACTGCCTAATATTTCCCATAGTTCTGCTGGCATTTAATCTAGTACCACTGCATTATTATTTTTTATTGATACCTATTTCTAGCTAATTAAATTTACTTGTTCTTCGTTCCATGAAATATGCTCTGATGTCTCTTTTAGAAACTCCTCATTCAGTCATTCTTCATAATACTATTTCCACCTTTTTTACATTATCATTGCTTGTTCTCGCCCTCTTATCATCATTTTTTATACAACATACATTGTGATAATCCTTTAGATCGTTTTTTATTACTTTTGCAAGTCTATAGATTTCTTTCTCTACTTCCTTTGTTTCTAGCCTATCATACAACTCATCATATCTCTTAAACTTCGCCTTACTTACTACACACTTAGTTTCTTTGCACAAACGTTTATACTCCGTCCAATCGGCTTTTCTTTTGCACTTCTACCATACTTTGAATTTTAAAATGAATCACATTTTCTACGAAAATTAAATTTATAACTATTATTCTGTCACTTTTCCTAACTACTTCTAACAGCTTTAGTATTCATTTCCTTGTCCATTATAATCCCTACATCATTCTTTGTATTGGTATTACCAAAGTATATTATTTTATAACAATCACCTGTTTCTCTTGCATTCTCTTTTCCACTTAGTTTCCTGCATACAACATATGTTAACTTTTCTCTTCTTCAATACTCCTTCTAATTCTCAACTTCTACTAATTAATGTTCCTATATTCCTAGTACCTATTCTTACTTTGTATCTATTTTTCTCCCTTATGCACACGTCTAGCCTAGAGCTGAGTAATGACGACCTTATACCGTTGACAGTACAATTGTTGGGTAGATCTTTACATATGACTTGTGAAATAGCTACCACACAAGTTGTCCGACTGAAATCAAATAATTTATTCTTTAGGCTTTCTCCGTTTCTAACTACTTTATTTTCTCTCACTTGTTATTCCCGCGTAAATTCGAAATGGGATAATCCGCCTAAGGTTAGTTCAGAACGCCTCATAATGTTTAACACAATTCTACAACGCTTGTTGACTTGATGAAACCACTATAGTTGCCTCTTACGATTGGCAGAGGGGCCGAAGAAGTATTCTTATCCCCTATCCACAGAGAAAAAAGGTAAACACCTAAGGTATTTATATAAAAATATTTATTTTGGTTCGTTCATCTTTTAAAATGTTTTGAAACGTTTAAAAAAAAGTTGAAATTTTAAAAATCGTTATTTTTTTTTGGGTTACCGAAACAGTCTTGCTCACTGGCAAGTACAAGTTTACTTCTCCACGGCTCGCCGTGCTAGGGGTGGAGATCCCGCTTAAGGACTCCACTGACTATTAGTCAGCGTCGTATACTCGGTTTTCCTGTACGGGTACTCTTATGTATTCGTCCAAAAACTGCGAAGCCCTGTTCATGATGGAGAGGCGGGCGGCAATCCGGATAGTTTCGGCGTACCGAACGATTTTCGGAGAGGCGGCGGATATTTTGTTATCACTGTCACCCGCCGACCTGCTCGCCGAGGAACGCACCGCTGGGCATGAACTCTGCCAAGAACGCGGCCGGCCCCTCGAACCCGAGGACTCATAGGACCCGATCGGCTGGAACGGACTCACGGTGAGATGACTTATCGTCTCACCCAAGTGTTGTCCGACCACCACTGCTTTAATGAATATCACCGATACCGTATTCCCAAAGCAACTACGCCAACGTGCGAATACTGTTTGGATCGCCCGGGAGAGGCTGACAGCACTATGCACACCCTCTCCCAGTGCAAGGAGTAGGCCCAAGAGCCCAGGATTCTTTGACTAGGATCGGTTCCGAGTCGGTTCTATAATAGACCTGATATTGAGGAGCCGAGAGGCGTGAAGGCGTTCGCCAAATCCGTCTAGAAAAAGAGAGGAAGCAGAACGCCTGAGACAGAAGCAGACACGCCGCTCGGTACAGAAAGACCTGAGACGTTGGTTTAGGCCGGTACCTTACGTTCTTGTTTTTTTCCGTGTGTTTTGTGAGTTATTTGGTCAACTCTCCCTAACGGTTCCCATTCTGGGATCCGGCTAACGGGAAGGGGCCATACCATGTTGCGAATCAGCTTTAGATTAATTTCGGGATGATTCGCAACGTGGTGGTGTGAATTATAAAGACGGCGTGGGCTGTTATGAAGTAATGCCTAACGGCAGATTCAGGGCAGCTTACAGTAATGTCGATGGTGAAAAAAAAAGGGTAATATCTTCAACTAAATAAAATTCGTGATATTTTGACGTATCAATAAGAAAAATCGGTCCAGTAAGAGCTGAGAAAAAATAGTGATAGACAAAAAACAAAAAAATAATAATATAACATCTAATTATAAAACACATCATGGTAAAAATACCTTTTAAGCTTAGCATTGAAGCTAAAAAAACTAATTATAACAAGAAATATATAAAATAAAAATTAAGATTAAAATATTTATATTGGATTTAATAAAATCTAAAGGATGTCAACTTGGCTTATTATCTCCTTATAAATTTTTATACCTTTTGTTTGTATTTTTTTAGTACTTCAGTTTTAATTTTTAGTTCTTCTTGAATATCATCATACACATCTAAAACTAAATGAGGCCCCTCTTCAGACTCAACGCTCGCCAAAGCTTTAGCCAATGCGTTTAATCTTCTCTCTGCTGCTTTTTTTTTACGTAACCTTCGTTCGCGAAGTTCCTCATCATTGACTCTTTCTCCACCAACCATACTTTCCTGTAGTTTTTTTAACCTAAATTATCAAAAATAATTTTTTTTTATAAATTATTCAATTAGTTTTTTGTTATGAGTCAAACCTTTTGACTACTTCTTGTTGTGACGAATTTAATTCCTTGTTGTTACAAAGTGCCTTTTCAACTAATTGTTGAGGAAATGAAGGCCTCATGTTGTTCTAAAAAAAAAAAAAATTCTTCTATTAAGTTGTAAGATAACAAAAACTTATCTTTTGAAAATGTTCCGGAAATACTGACACTTTTATATATACCTTAAATTAAAGCTTATGTAATATACTTTATTATGAAAAAAAACGGTAGCACAGTGAGGTCGCGACATAGTGGAGACATTGCATAGTAGGGTCCAGTATAGATTTAATCTGACAGTGATTAAAATCACTATCATAAGAAACGCTTCGATGCAAATCTGTAGATAGTGTTTAATTTTAAAAAATTGATGGATAATTGCAAAAGCAACATCAACTTCTATTAAAATAAAATACAAAACCCATAATTATCATACAAAAATAGTATATTTTTCAATATGGTAGCCATTTGCG